GGGCTGACTGCTCTTCTGTCTGGGTTCAAGGCTTTTATCCCCTTTCTCCTGCTCTTCCGGCCTGCTACTCTGGCGTCCCTGTGTTGTCTCTCCTCACCCGTAACCCTGGGGCTGACTGCTCTTCTGTCTGGGTTCAAGGCTTTTATCCCCTTTCTCCTGCTCTTCCGGCCTGCTACTCTGGTCGGCCTGAGTTTCCCCTCCTCACCTAATCCCTTCGGCTGATTGCTCTTCTGTCCGGGCTCAAGGCTTTTATCCCCTTCCCTGCTCTTCCGGCCTTCTCCTCTGGCGTCCCTGCATTGTCTCTCCTCACCTGTGAACCTGGGGCTCAAGGCTTTTATCCCCTTCCCTGCTCTTCCGGCCTGCTCCTCTGGCGTCCCTGCGTTGTCTCTCCTCACCTGTAACCCTCAGGCTGACTGCTCTTCTGTCTGGGTTCAAGGCTTTTATCCCCTTTCTCCTGCTCTTCCGGCCTGCTACTCTGGCGTCCCTGCATTGTCTCTCCTCACCTGTGAGCCTGTGGCTCAAGCAGGATATCCAAATGATATCCCTTTCATATTGCTTGTGTAAGGGCCCAGAAAAATTAAAGACTTTTGGGCGTATATTTACCTTATTTCTATTTTATTTGGGCATTTATTTTCTTATTTGAAGAAAAAGAAGGTAAATCTCTTGGGGTTGGAACTGCCAGCTAATCAGAAAGAATGTAAATATTCTGTTTATCACATGTGATAGTTATACTGGATATTTATTAACTTTTCATTCTCTAGAGGAAAAAAAAAATTTTTTTGGAAACAAGACTGGGTTTTGCTTTCCTTCTAAGCAAGTTGAGTATGTTTACCTGATTTATCTGTTCTCCTTCCTTACATCTAAATATATTTTGAACTCTATTGAATATTATTAATTACATGGAATTGCATATTTAGGTTTTTTCCCCCACTGAAATGAAAACTTGGCTCTTCACTGCAAAGCAATAATTTTCAACCTGTCAGATGAGCCCGGACAAACTGTGACCTGAAAGGATGAACCCAGAAATTGAGAACATTCAAAAGTCTGGAATAACTGTTCCAGAAGACAAATTTTGGAAGGAATACTTATTTTTAAAAGCTGGTCCAACCAGGAATTCTGGAAGCTCATGCCATGAGTGATTGTGTTCTGTACACCTTGAGCTCTCACTGGTCCCCATTCCTCAGGAGAGCACAAGGCTCTTGGAGGCCTTGTAGAAACACCTGCTTGAGTCCTTTCTGATGTCTGTCTGGTGCTCCTGGGCACAGTGAAGCGAGCATCTAGGTGTCTTGCTATAGAGTAGAACTGGTAGATCCCGCATTGATATCCATGCTGCCTGTCCCAGAGCTCGTGCTTCTCATCACCACACTACTTCCCAGGCCACAGCAACTTGTTTCTTCCAAGTATTCTTTCTAGTCAGTAGTAAGTATTTCATTAAGTCTTAGAATCTGTTTAAAATAGTAAATGGAAGAAAACAATAATCATTTAGGCTTATATATCTGTGGTTTTAAAACCATTTTTAAAAAGGCAAAAAACAAAAAACTCTGGCCTTGTATCGTCACATATATTGTTATAGGAAATGTCTGTGGAGCTCTGAGAGAGTCAGCAAGCCAGAATGCAAGCAGGAGTGAGCTGGGAGGGGAATAAACAGTGAAGGATGGGGATGAAGAAATTAGCCCCAGTCACTTCATGAAAGATATTAAAAAGTTTGGATAGGAGGGAGCCATAGGATGGGGGAGAAGGGTTTGTTGAGGTTTGGGAAATTTAGAAAGATAAGTCTAGTATAGCTGGAGAGTCCATTTTGTTGAGTAAGACTGATGGAGGGTGCTGTGAGAACCCAGTGGTAAAATGATTGTAGGCTAAACTTAAGATTTTGTACTTGGCAGGACTTCCTCAAGGAAGGTACCTTAGAAATATCCAAAGCACTTACCACTTTAGGGAATGTTTTCAGTATGCTTCTTGCACTAGAATGCTAACATTGTGTCCATAGAACTCCTTATTAAATCCTAATTATCTCCCAGAGTGCTGGCCACAAAGGCATTGCTCAGTACTCTGAAAACGGTTTTCACTTTCTGTGCAGATACTTTTCCGAGTTGGTTTTTCCTGCTGAAATGTTGTAAGACTGTACTTTTGTTTTGCTCATAAAACCAGTTTCTAAAGAATCTATGCTAATGTGCTGGCCACTTGTATGTATGTGGGGGCAGAACAGAGAGTGTCTTTTGATAGTTCATTTAAACATGGTTGTTTGGCTCCATCATTCCTTTTATACCAAGAAGTAGAAAATTGGTCACAAAAATATCTTCATTCATGATCAGACTTAGATAAATGTGTTAAATAAGTTTTAGGAATTTCTAAGATAAGAGGGTACAGGAGTAATTTCTGTTCCTAAACTTTTGATAATCTTCAGAATCAAAGTGCAAAATGAGGTTAAAAAAAGTCCTCAAGAATAAAAGGTTATAGTGACCTGGTGAAGGGAGAGGATAGATAATATTTACTGAGGACTTATGTCCTGGGTACCATTCTTAATAAGGAGCCCTTGTAGTGCACTGGTTAAGTGTTCAGGTGTTAACCAAAATTTAGTCAGCAGTTTGAACCCACCAGCCTATCTGTAAGAGAAACATTGTAGCCTTAGAAACCCTGTGGGGCAGTTTTACTCTGTCTGGTAGGATCACCATGGGTGGGAATTGACTCAACAGCATTGGGTACCCTTCTAAATGTTTTTTACTTATTAACTCATTTAATCCTCACAGTAGCCCTGTGAGGAAGGTGCTATTGTTATGCTCATTTGTCCAATGGGCAAATTGAAGCATAGAGATGCTAGGTAATTTGTTCAAGGTAAACAGACATCCAGGATCCTTAAGTGCCGGTGGACTCTGAAGAACGAATGTAGTCAACGTTTCTAAAAACTGCGTTACATTTTAAATGCACAGTAACTGCATTACATTTTAAATGCAGACGGAGTACAAAGAACTATTGATAATTGTATAAAGCAGATTCTTTTATATTTGAATGCTGTGATGTCGTTAACTCTGATACATGTTTTCACTTAAAAGGTTTAGCAGGCTTTGGTTTTTATCATTTAATTTCCTTTGCTGCTAAGTATTAATGGTTCTGTGTGTACACATGCATGCAAATGCACATCCTTTGGGGTTTGTGTTTGTGCCTGTGTGTGGGTCTGGGCTGGGCTCTGGGTGACACTGTTTATGCTTCTCCTTGTCAGGCAACACGGCACTTCTCCTCATACTGTGCATTCAGCATTCCTTTCCTGAGCCCAGTAAGTTGTATCTCGACTTCATTCTGGCCACCCTGGCCCTGGAACTGATCTGTTCCCTGATGTGTCTGCTCGTTTATACAGGTGAGAATCACAATTGAGCTATCCTTAAAAAGACTTAGCTACTTCATTTCTTCCCAGTTTGAAGCTTAGCCCATTATCTTAGGGACAGAGATATTTTTCTTCATACCTGAGAACCTATGTAGCACCTATATCTCTCCTTGGTAACCACCTCCAGACTCCTCTAATTTCCAAACAAAGAAAATCACCACCATTGAGTTCCATTTCTAAATTTCTGTCAACAGATTTTTATCAACCAAAGTGAGCACTTTTTGTTAAAAAAACAAAAACAAACAAACAAAATTTTAGCTTCCCCAGAGGTAGCTGAAGGATAAGCCTGGTATTGACAATGAGAAATAAAAAAATAAGTAAATAAATAAACTAAACACATAAAACTTGTGTTTAGCCCAGGCTTGCTTTGAGTAAACCATTTAGAAGCTCACTTCTTCCTAAATTTAGGACTGGCAGAGTCTCTCACACACATAAAACATTCAGTGATGGAATTAAAGTAGGTTTCAGATATGTTAACATGAAAATACTATGGAAGGGAACATTAACAGAAAAAAATTCGAACCCCGGAGAAATTTAGATTTCATTCCTGCTATGCTATTAACATGTAATGAATCTGTCTATAATAGTGACTAACTTGGTGTCATTGAGCTAATGGTTGTTTTGTGACAATAAAATGCCTCATAAATCCAGATGACCATTTTGAAAGATCCTTTTTCTCGTTATCAAGGAACAAGCTATGTGGGTCTTAGCGTGTGTTTCATTTTACTTATTTTTTGTGTATCTCCTTGTGGCCAGAGAAGGGTATTAGGAGTATAAATGGACTGATTGATTAGTTTGTTGTTGTTGTTGTTGTTATGTGCCATGAGTTGGCCCCAACTCATAGCAACCCCTCCTTGGGTTTCTGAGGTAGTATCACTACAGAAGTAGATTGCCCAACCTTCCTTCCAAGGAGTGGCTGGTGGGTTTGAACTGCCAGCCTTCTGGTTAACTTGGAATAAATGTGACTGATTTCTCATTCTAAATTGATTAACTTTGTAGAAAAGAATGAGACTGAGGGTTTTTTTTTCCAACTTTTTGTTGTGATTTGGGTGGAATTTTACAGAGTAGATTCATTTTCCTTTCAACCCTTCATACGCATTTTGTTTCATGACACTGATTATAATCCCAACAATGTAACAGCTCTGTTACCACATCCTCCCTACCATATCTCTGTGTCCTTCTTACTTATGCATTCCTACCTCTCTAGCTTTCTCCCTTTGCAAATGCTGCCCTTCTGATCTCCCATGATTGATTGTTCTAAGGAATGCAGCTCCCTAGTGCAGCTGTTCAGCTTGTAGGCCTCTCTCTTGTTTACCTGAGAGTTATGCTACTGGAGTGAGTTCTGTTTCGTACCCAAAGGGTGACTAGGGGCCATAGTCTACGGGTTTTCACCAGTCTCTATCTGACCAGTAAGCCTGGTCTTTTTAATGTTTTTTAGTTTTGTCCCACATTTTTTTCTCCCACTCTCTCCAGGATCTCCAATTTTGATCCTTTTCCCAGTGGTTGGCAGTGTTAGGGGGCACCATTTAGTTCTGGTTTCAGGCTCGTGGAGGCTGAGGTTCCCTTGGTCCATTAGTCCCTTGTACTAATTGTTCCCATGCATCTTTGATTTTCTTCACTCTTATTTGCTCTGAATGAGGAGGGACCAATAGTTGCTTCTTAGATGGCTGCTTGCAAATTTTTAAGTCCCTACTACTCACCGAAGTAGGATGTAGAACACTGTTTTTTTTTTTTTTTTTATTAGGATTTGGGTGAAGATTTACAGAGTAAATTCACTTTTCATACAGCAGTTC